ATAGTATACTTCCATGGGGAATGGACTCCCAAAGTTCATTTGTGAATTAGGGATAAAAACTGGTTTCACTGTCAGAGGTCCCATAGACTGCTTAGGTCTCCTAACTTAGCCCCCTTATTTTATAGAAGAGTAAACTGGGGCCCAGAAAGGGTTAGTGACATGCTGTGGCCATGAGTGCTTCCTGAAAATGTAAAGGCCATGTTTAAAGTGGTGCTTGCAGATTCTGTCTCGGGTTTTCTAAGGACTTAGGGACATAAATTCAGGCCCTATGTGTGTTCTACACCAGATCCTTTCACTGATGAGCCAGGTGAATTCCTGTGCGGTGCTTTTCCACGAGGATGAGGTCCCGATGCCCTCATTATCCCCTCCTGCACTCAACCAGCTGAAGCAGCACTGGGGTAGCTGCAGGGACTCAATCCTTGCAGAAGGGCCTTCACATCTCCAGAAGAGGGAAGGAGGCAGAGACACAAAGTAACAAGAATAATTGGTGGAAACAGGACTCTTTTCTTTGGGGAGGGGGTGTTGGAGACAGGGTTTCCTCTGGCAGTGGGCCAGAGCTTGGACCCTGCTTTCTCTCTGTGCCCATCAGCACAGCCAGCCCGGGGGCCATGCTGGGGTCACAGCAGCTGCAGCTCCGCTCACTCGGAACACGGCTTCTTATCTGGAACAAGGAATGAATTCAGTAAGGACTGTCTGTGTAGCTCGTCCCTCCTCCTCATGCTCCAAGGAGCCGAGTCCACACGGCAGAGGGGTAGTGGAGCAGAACTGTGTGAGGAATTCATTTTGCAAGTCTGAGATGCCTGCCAGCATTTTCCTATAATAAATCAGAGCTTGCAGGGACTAAATCTGTAACTTCGTCTCCAATGAAACCCAAACTGGGAGCTCCCTCAGCAACTGGAGGCAAGACCACAGGGGTGACAATTCTTTGGTAGACAGGGGCCCTAGGTTTCACTACTAAGTGGGACTCCATCCCTCTAATGACAGCAAGTGTGTGCTAAGCTTCAGGTCAAACCACCAAAATAAAAGCTCTGCATGCTTCAATGTATGCAACTTAAAAATAGTCCCTTGGATGACATAGTTATACTAAAATGTGTTTAAAACTGTGTCTACTGGCATGCACTTGCATTCCATTTCCTGGAATATTCATCCAGAACCCTCTTATTAGAAAGGGCACTGGAGTATTCAAAACCTCACTACTCCTTAGACATGTCACCTCAGCAGTATTAGTGTGTAACAGGCAGAGATTAGGTGCAAGTTTTCATCTCTCACTCAAAACCCAGCTGTGTTGTTGGCTTTCTGTACCCTCTAACATACAAGCCAGTGTGGTGGTCAACTTGCGGGAACCTATTTTTCACGTGTAGAACAAACATTCTCAGTAATGTTCCTCTTGGAGGTGTCTTTGAGAGCCGAGTTGCTTGTGAGTGAAATGGGAACAAGAGTCCACAGTCAGCCATGCCCTCTGCATAGGAAGGGGTTCTCAAAAAGCTGGGTTCCCAACGGGAAGGCTGCAGCTTGTTAGGGAGTACGCTGGACTTGGCCAGGCAGCCAATGTGGTAGCTGAGCTGTGCTTCCCAGAGCCGGTGAGGGGCGAGCCTGGCTCTGCAGTCGGGAGGTGGAGGCGGGACACTGCTCCCTCCATCCGTCCATCAACAGGAGGGCTGTGATCTCCGGGCAAGGTTGTGACTTTTCTCGGGAATCTCTCCACGGTGCTGTCTCACCAGCAAGCTCTATCTTCAGGACAGATTGGAGGATGATAAGGAAGGCGTTGGCGCCACTGGCTCAGGAGACAGAAACCAGGGCACGGAACTGGAAAAGACCTCTGAGCTTTTCCCTTTTGTGGGGCAGCTGCCCAAGGAAGGTTGCGAACAGGCTAGATTGGCTGACTCTGAAAACTGAGAGGCAACTGCTCTCTTCGGAAGGCTCTGAACACTCTATGCTCTACTATGGCCACAGCAAGGGAGGCATGTGAAGCCAAATCATTTTTGGGGAGGCGGGGGGGGAGACGGATGAGCATTTGATCCCCCCTAGCGGTGCAATAGAGTAACTCTGGGAGTAAAGCCTTTGGACTTCACTCCTAACACCTGCGGGGCATTTCAAGAGCAAAACCGCTTTTTAATTTGTTGCTTGCTAATTCCTGTTGAGAAGGAAGTTTTCGTGGCCAGGAACCAGGTACCTACCGTGTACCAGGCCAAGCTGAACTAGACAATTAGAACATTTGGACAGGTGCCTAGGGTTGCTAATCTGCAAGAGGGAGGACTAAATGTCAGAATAATTGGGAAGATGGGGCCTTGTTAGCTACCCCTTTTTGACTGCAATTCTGTAGGTTTGTGGGGGAAGCAGGGGAACCAGGAAAAATGGCTGTGATCCCATTCAACAAACCTACTGAGCAAATCCTACTCTTTCCGTTTTGAAAATGTGGCAAGAGAGCTACCTTGAAGGAAGAGAGGGTCTTGAAAATAATTTTTTTCTTTTTTGCGGGGGGGGGGGAACCAAAGTTTCCTCTTTGGACCAGTATCTCCTTAATTTTCTTGGCGATGGGATTCAGTGATGGGTAAGGACGCGTACGCTTGGCATGTGGGCAGGATGAGGCCGACCAGCGGCGGTGGTGAGGGGGAAGAGGAGAGGTGTTACTTCAGCCAATGTGATCTGGGGAGGGACAGGAGCGAGAAAGGCTTGGAGGAAAGGCCAGGCCACTGGCAGCCTACCCACGAGGCCCGGGAGATGATGACTCAAAGCCAGTTGAGAATGGACCACGCAAAGGCTGAGACGGGAGGTTTCTTTCTCCCTCTGCCTCCAAATCCCCACCAGGCTCTGGCTTCGCTTGCAGAATAATATTTGAGAGGACATCAAAGCCCACGATTCTTATCAACAGAAGACCAAATTCTCCATCTTTACCAAATCTACGTTGGCTATTCAAACCATGCTTGTCTTTTTTTTTTTTTAATTGGGTATCAAATTCTTAATGACCCTCAGGGCTCAGAGCTTGGGTGGCCCTGGTGCCAGGAGCAGCCATCCCCCTACCCCCCCCGCACAGAGCCTTCTTTGTGCTTTTCCTTTGAGATGGAGTAACTGAGACCCGGTAAGACCAAGGCAAGGGGAAACTAACTCTGAGCCGGAAACTGGTTAAAGGACCGCACCAGGAAAGAAATTAGCCTCCAACATGGCTGCTCTCTAGCTTGGGCCGCTGCTTAGCCTCGTGGGTGTGGTTTGCCATGCGGCGTCGACGCCCTTACTCCGTGGGGCAAGCGGGGTAGAAGAGCGGTTTGAAGGAAAACGTTAGCGAGGAAATGGGGCTGTCTCGGGAGGTTTGGAGTTCGCAGAAAGCATGGAGTCTGTTTTCTCCGTTAGGTAAGGCTGACATGAACAACCATGCTCCCCCAGAAAGGAACCTGGAGCCAACCGGTCTAGAGCATCTGAGTATGCTTGAGGTTCCCTCCTCTCAGCAGCAGGGGGAGGCAGAGAGTAAAAAAAAAATGATGCCTGCTAAGTTCTCAGGGGCACTCACTGCGCACAAGCAGGCATCGTGTAAGCATTAAACACTTAAGAAAAACTTCAGTGCAGGCTTTGTAGAACCTGTGTCACGAGACAGAAAAACTTATGTACCGAGTGCCAACACAGAGCGGATGGGGACTGAACTTTTAAAGACGTCAAAACGGCTCTTCTTGTGATCCTTCTGGCTACTTGTAGGAGCAGAGGCCACCGAGTGGGAACAGAGCCCAGGGAAGGAAGCAGCTCCAGAGATGCAAATCCAGCCCCAGTGTGGCCCACACAGCCTCCCTTCCCTGGTTAGTCTCCTCACCACATGGCTGAGGTGCCTTCTTGACCGAAGGAAGCAAACTCCGGACAGGCAGCAGCCCCATGGACTGCGGGCTCCTGGAGGCTGCTGGCCCCGATTCACCTACGCACTTCTTCCCAGAAGGCTGGGGAAGCCTGTGGCAACTGTGTTTCCCATTCCTACACACTTAGGGCAGCCCACGCCCCGAAGCAGTGTATAACCCCAGTTACTTCAGCTTGCATTTCTTTCTTTTTTTTTTTTTTTTTTTTTTTTTGGTTTTTACGCGACAGGGTTTCTCTGTATTGTTTGGAGGCTATCGGTCCAGCCCCGCCTCGAACTCACAGAGATCCGCCTGCCTCTGCCTCCCAAGTACTGGGATTAAAGGCGTGCGCCACCACCGCCCGGCCAGCTTGCATTTCTGATTCAGGGTTCACGCATTCCTGCAGAGATGCCAGCGTAGTAACGTGCCCTCACGTAACAGAGTAAGGTAGTTTAGTGTGTGTGTGTGTGTGTGTGTGTGTGTGTGTGTGTGTAGGTATACTCATACATCGGCTTTCGTGTGAAGGTCAGGGAGCCTCAGGTATCCGAGTTCCTTGAGCTTCTGGGCATTCTGCCACCACCACCACCCATCTGAAAGGGCATGCGCGGGGTTACAGCTGTGGCTTGATGCAGGAACCCACATGCAGGTCCTCTGCTTGGATGGCGAGTGCTTTACCCGCTCAGCCTTTTTTCCCCCCCAGCCCCATTAAGGAAAGCACCGATTCCAAACATCAAATTATCACATGCATATTTTGTCTAGTAACTGAGCTTCCTCTCCCTTCCACTAAGCCTGCTGCGAACTGTTTTACAGTCACTTGGATCTCCTTTATCTGGTACTCTGCTCAGCGCTGGTGTTAACAGCACACAGAGGAACAGGCACCAACAAGAAGGGAGGAGCCAGAGCTGGTTTCTGAGCATCTAACCCTGAGGCTTCCTGAGTGGGCACAGAGGCTCCTTAACCACCCCCCCTCCTGCATGTGTCGGAGCGGATCCACTCCTCAGTCCAAGGCTGACTATTCCATGGCCATTGCTGCACACTCAGAGAACCTAAGGACTGTGATTTACCTGTGAACGTGAGAGTCCGTCATGTTATTCAAGAACAGTACACTTGATGAGAGGGGTGGGCGGTGACAGTGGCCACTGGACGCGAGCTCCACCAGAAAGAACAAGGCAAAACGGAGGCCGGTTAGTCTCCCAGCGATTCATCTCATTCACCATTTATTATAATTAAAAAATCTAATCTTCTTACACAAAGGATACTGTAAAAACAGCGGGTGTTTACCCAAGTCTACAGAATGTAGGGGTTTAAATCCAGGGGCCCGAAGACATTGAACATAACCTTACATTTTCTAGTAACTCGTTGCAGAAGCAGAACCCAAGTACACACGTCCAAATATCCCGTGAAGTTAACAAATGCCAGCCTGCTCTGAGTGCCAACAAAAGAGAGGTGTCTCCACTCAAGACTGTTTGCTTACAATGAAAGTTAGAATTTTAGTCTTACTGTACAGTGTTAAAGACCCGAATCACAGCAGATAGAAGCACAGACACACCCATTCTAACCCTACACTTCTGTGTTTTTAAAATTGCACCACTGTCTGTGAGAAATAATGAACATGCAGAAGGCATTCGCAATTGTTTTTATCAGCTATGGTGTCTTATGCGTTAAATTCAAGACTTTAAGAAATTAAGTTCAACCAAAAGCCATCTCAACTCATTACCTTGGCTCCTATAATCTCTGTTAATACTTCCACGTTGATGAAACTGTGCATATATATATATATTTTTTTTAAAGTTGAAGAGAATACAGTTCACGAAGTCCATTGCAAAAGGTACAGAGTAGCCAGATGTCACTGGGTATAGAAGCTGCGGGCAGGAGACACGAGGGGAGTCCCTGCTTCAGCACACCACACAGGCAACGGACAGACACAATCACACCCAGGACATTCTGCAGTAGCTACTTGTTTCCCCTTCAGGATGCACAATAAATCTCCATTTCTCTCTCCAATTAGTCTCCTTTATTTTCCAGGAAGCAATGCAGCTGCTAACGCAATATACAGTCACTGAAAAGGAAGGAGCCAGAAGTTGGAGTCTTAAAGCAGGAATAAAGGACTGAGCATGCGTGGTGTCAATGAGGGCCTGAGCACGCGTGGCGTCAATGAAGGACTGGGCATGCGTAGTGTCAGTGGAGTCCTGAACATGCGTGGTGGTGTCACTGCCAATGCTCTTGCAGAAATACACTGCTACTATATACCGTGCTGGTCAGATTTAGTGAGGTGGGTGAGGACGAATATACCAGATGTGAATGGACCAGCCCGACTTGACTATAAAGATGGACAGGTAAATATTATTGAAAGTATAAGGAAATAATGTCAAGTCTACAGATAAATAAGTGGTTTGGTTATTTTAGTGAACCCATCGATATTAATACAATGTTTAAACCAAACATGACGTCCATCCAGGAATAACGCTGTATGCCCAAGCTGCTTTAGCGTATCGCGGCAGACAAATTCGAGCTTCCACATCACTGAGACCCCAAGGATTTCGGGTGCCCTGACCTAACATGTTTATTAGTAACAGAGAAATACGGAGATAAACAGGCGATTGAAATGAAAATGAGCATCAATATTGCCAGAGATCCACCTTGATGTCGATGAGGTGGAACATGCGCCTTTTCAAACTAAGGTAGCGTTTGATTTTAAATACACCACCACGAAGGAAATCCAATACTTCATGACTAAAAGTAATGAACTTTTAAAAAGTTGCTGTTCTTAGACTAACCTAAATGAAAACTGCAAACATGAGACGTCTGTGTGGATGCAGATACAAGGAACCCACACCACTGTAGCATGTCTAAATTTTGCTTTCCATCCTTTACGTTGGGTTTCCTGGGGGACGTCTCGTGATAAATTTGGAAGATTTCATTTTCTTCATTTAAGATTCTCTTGGGTGTCAGGTGACTATCAAGACAGGCAGAGAAGCCAGTGCTCACACGGATCTCCATCAGGCAGGCGGTAGTGTAGTGCTCATTGCCTCAGTGTCCGTTAGCTTGGACAGCTACCTCAACATGGATGCATAAGCAGCAGACACAAAAGACATCTCAGAACTGTGGTTATTAAGAGCTACAAGATTTTCAGCAGCAAAAAAAGCCTAGTGTGGAGAAAGCGGGTCACACCTCATGGCTGATCCTTCGGGGGAATTGCTTTGAGGAGGCAGGAGAGTCAGCCAAGGATGCCTGCGCTGGAAAACAATTCGTGGGGAAGTGTGCTTTTGTCAGGTGAAGGTTAGAAAATCTGAACTGTGTTCTGAATTTCTTTCCTACACAGAGGGCGGGATATTTTTTTTTCTCCCCATATGAAGTATGGTTGGCAATACTGAAACCTCCTTCCCATAAACCATTGATATTCAGAACTTCAGAAAATTCCAGCCAACTTTGGAATTGGTCCACATAATGATGATTCTACTGAAAACATCAACTCACATTTTAAAAAAAGTAAAAAGAAGACCTTGGCTACAACCAGGACCTGTCCGTGAGGTCCCAGAGACAGCTGCCCTGGTCATGCCTGGTTCCCTGAGAACTTGGACGTTCTAACGAAGGCAAGTTTTGTCAAGATGTCATCTATTTCTATTTATCTATTCCTTGCCGCCCACAGTGCTTTAGGCAACTCTTGGGTCTTCTACATATTCTTTGTAATACTCCAGTTTCCTCTGTGAGATTCTTCTCTCTGAACGCCAGGCATGTGGACACCCAAGAGAAGAGGCGTTTCTTACACTTAAAAGACTCGCTTTCATCTTCCTAGAACAAAGAAACACTCCTCACCACATCTCACCACAGTTCTCTTTAGAAGATTTCCTGACCCATGGTGTCTCCCAGTTTTGTGCAGATGCTGTTAACAGATTGCTTGACAGTTAGTGCCCAAAAAGAGGCGAGTTCGTAATGCCTAGACCCCGCCCCCCAGCAGAGAAAAACCCACTACGATGTTCATGTCCCCAGAGTGAGCCAGCCCATTTTATTTACTCAATGGTGTGCATGGTAATAAAAGGGCCAAAAGCAAAGTTCTCTGTCGAAAGGAGCAAGATGCATCCCAGGAGTCAAAAGGGCATGAGTTGGGTGTCAGTCAAATGAGCTCACTTAAGACGGAGACAGACAGCTTCCATCACAATCATACCAAGAGACCATGTGGACGGAGGGACAACCTACACCTGTATCCGGTGCCTACTAAGTTTCTGCAGAGGGACAACCTACACCTCTCTCCGGTGCCTACTAAGTTTCTGCAGAGGGACAACCTACACCTGTATCCGGTGCCTACTAAGTTTCTGCAGAGTATGTTCCAGTCTAGGCCCCGCCCTCTCCTGTCCATCACAGCTTGTCAGTACTTGAGGAGTGTGCCCGTGCCATTGCACAACAGCAAGGAGAGGTAGATGACGCGGCTGTCCTCTCACACAGAAACCCCTTGAAGACTTTAGGGGAAAAAACACACACACACACAAGGCCTTTTGTCATCCAGAGTTAATTAGTTGCAGAGTACAAAAACTTTTTTGGAGCAGAACGCATACAAAAGGAGAATCATAACCAGCCCAAACTGAGAATTAGTCAATTCTGAGAGATGCCCATGTTCACTGTACCTTACAAAGTGTTCTCGGAGATGTAGAATCTGTGATCACACGGTAGAAAATATTTTATATTTCATATAAAAGTTCTTAACGTATGTCAAAAAAGGCTTTGATGACAGACAAGGAGACAACTTAGAGAATACATATTTTTAGGAACCCTGGCTCCTAACCTCAGCAAATGCCAAATGTCAGCATTCTCCCAGGGGTGTTGCTCAGAGAAAACCAGACGACGATGGTCCTGCAAAAAAAAACGAGGAAGGAAGTGGGAAGGGGGCCAAGCACAACACACCCTGCTTAAAAGCCGGGAGACCATCAATCAAAGCCAGCGGTGAACATGACCGAGGGCACTTACGCTGATGGGTTCTTATGGGTCTGGTGATCATTATCAAACTAGAGAGTCACAGGAAAACAAGTGTGACATAAGTAATGGGCTAGAAGGAGAGGAGAGGGGAAAACATACAGTCCTGAAGAGAAAACTTGGAGGGCAAAGTTTCCATCACCGTACGCCTCTCGGCCCACCTCGATGCGTTTTTTTCTTTACATCTCAATAATTTAAAGATCAGCTATTCACAGAACCCCAGTGTTGACATCTTTCTCCTACTTGACTTAGACACCGGGTTACCCGGTCACATTTTTGGTTCCTGTGTGTCATAACCATCAGCCATTCTTTCATCTACATGACTTAGGGAAAGTTCATTCTCCTTTAAGCCCCCGGTTTAAAACTGCCTTTTCCGAGTTTGATCCCTAGGTCAACATTTGTCTAAGCACGTCTGCAAACGTTCCGTCACAGGCAGCGGAAGAGTATTGAGCAAACTGTCCTCGACAATCAGGCAGCTCCGTTTCAGGGACTGACAGCCTTCCAGCTCGGGAGGCAGCGTCTCCAGGTAATTCCCAATGAGTTCCAGGTAGGTGAGGTTGGACAGCTCCCCCACCAGAGGGGACAGATCCGTGAGGCTGTTCTTCCCCAGAAGCAGATACTGGAGCTTCTTGCACTGGAACAGACCGTCTGGCAGCATCTCGATCTGCAAGGAGAAAGGAAGCAGGTGAAACCGGTTTCGACTGGCTCCCATAGCAATGCATGCACTTCCATCCTTAAAAAACATGCCTGCGGGCCCACAGGGAAAGAAATCACCTTGGTTGTAAATTTGAGGTGCAGGACAAAAGAGAAAGGACAGGAGTAGCCAATGGAACTATGGCTGGCCACTGAGCATCTATACTCTCTCGAGTGCGGGTGTACGACCAGCTTGGTTCTGAATGCACAACGTGAGTCTTAAAAGAGAAAGTCCCTATATATCCAGGGTTTCCAAGATTAAAGAAAACGGTCCAGTAAACTGAATCATAATTTACTCAGTCCTGGATCAGAAATAAATTACTCTCCAGTCCCTCCCAAAGAGAGATCTCACCCTGCCAATCAGTGGTGAGCAACACCCCAGGGTCTCCAGAGAGCAGGTGAGGGAACTTTCTAAACGGCTTTTCTCAGAGAAGGAAACTTAAGCTTTATATTCAGCAGTCCAACGGAAGGAAAGATGCACACAAGAGGGGTGATCTATCTATACACACACGCCTCACGTCTCCACACACACACACACACACACACACACACACACACACACACACACACACACACACACACACACTGAGGCCACTCTCCCTTCTTAGGCCCTCACGCCCATTACAGGATTTGTGTAATGCCATGAGGTGGATTTAAATACGGCAAATAACCCGCAACTGGGCCAAGTTGAGAGCAGCCCCAGCTGACTGATCCCCCGCATGAGGAGCACGGCGTTTGTGTGTGCGGTGCAAAGGATTCACCATGAGGAGACCACCAAGGGAGATGCTGAGCATGTCCCAGACCCTCAACGTGTCACTCACAGGGGCCTTGGGAGGCTCACCTGTTAGCATAAAGCTCGAGGGGAACCTTGGGGTGACCTTGGCGGAGGGACAAACACACACGCTAGGCAGACAGAGCTCAGTGAGAAGTTTTATTAGAAAGGGAAAGGGCTGGGGGAAGGAGAGAGGTAAAGAGAGAGAGAGAGAGGGCAGAAGAGAAGAGGGAGACGGGAAAAGTCCTGTCTGCCCCGGGGAATTGCAGATAAGAAAGCGGGAAAGAGAGAGAGGAAAGAGAGAGTGGGAAGAGAGTTGGAAAAGGGGGCGGTGGTGGGCGTAGGTGCGCGGGGTGGGCAGGGTGAATCTTTTAAAGGGGTCCTTTGCACCTGCGTGCCGACTACGCAATCATGGAACCCTGGGCTGACCGAGTACCGCCTGAGTGTGTTCTGCAGGGTGAATGGGGTGGGCCAGCATAATGCCTGAGTCCTTACGCCACCTAGGAAAATCCCCGCTTACTGCATTTCTTCTCAGGCACGGATGTAAACCGTTGCCTATGCGGACTCAACGTTGAAAACGGCAGGCAGAGTAGGAAGGCACCCAGTCCTTGTAACTCAGAAGTTGGGTCCCACATGGACCTGCTCAGGGGGGTGGGGGGAGGAGAGACACAGACTTGAGAGACACTTGGGGACAGCATGGTTCCCCGGAGTTAGGTAAACGCACGCTGAATGTCTTCCAGGCACTGGGAATAAAGTGCTGAACCCCACACACGGCCTTAAGTTCTCTGTGTAAGGTGGACTGCGTGACAACCCACCCTCCAAGCTGTGAACTTTGTGGGTAGGACAATTCTGGCTGTGGGGCTCTAGTGTACCTTGTAATGTTTATCGCCTCTACCCCTGGCTCCCGGTAACACACTCAATGTCTCCTGAGGAGGCAAGAGCACCTCCCGGGGAGTAACCCTGTCTGCACCAAGGATGCACGTGTCCCAGTTAGTAAGGAGAGCAGCCCAGCCCCCACCGTGCTCAGGAATTCCATAGTCCCCTTCCTCTTCCAACACCACATGGTCACCAACTACGTAACTGGACTTATTTTTCCCCTAGGTGCTCCTCCTGAAGAAAACAGCCTCACCACTCTCTTGTCTGTGCCTCTAGATTCCCAGGCTTCCTCCACAGTTCTGAATGTGTGGTGTTTGTGACGTCCCCGAGACCCTCGATGGAGGAGAGAGACTGCGTGAGGGAGGAAGTGGACAGTCTCTGGGGCTGGACCAATGCCAGAGCTGGCAGTACCCACTTCTGTGAGCTGAGACCCATGCCCAGCTGAGGTGCAGGGTCCTAACTTACCTATTTAATCTAAATTTCCTAAATTAGGAAGGGGAGCTTTTCCTTCAATTAACTAATTCTATCCTAAACTAAAATACATTAAAAACAATACTTTACCTTCGAGTTCATAACACCAAACACATAAGGCTTGGAACAGCATGCTTTATAGAAATGAATCTGAGACTGGGGGTGTGTACCTTGGGTGTTGGGGTGCTTGTCTGACATGTATGAAGGCCTGGGTCTGATCTCTAGCTGGGCATAAACTGGGTGTGGTGGTATGTGCCTGTAATGCTAGCTCTATAGAGGCAGGAAGGGTTCAAGGTCAGCCTTGGTGGTGTAAGTCTAGAGTAAATGAGGTCCTATTTTCAAAAATAGATCCATAAAATTATATGTGATTCTTTGAGCACATCCCTTTAGACTGAGTCACACGTGACATCTATATTTTTGCATTAGCTATTAAGGTGCGTTTCATGGGACCGGCTTCCCACGAGTTTCTAAGAAAAAAGCTATCTTGTTTAAACACATGTGGCAAGTCCAATCTCCTATTGGAGAAGCAAGTGTGTATCCGTATGTTAAAGGCGCCGAGGAATCCGGGGTGAAAACAGGATTCAAAGAGAAACACTGTCCGTGTTCTATGAGAACCCTATTACCCTCCTGTGCTGGGGCTCTGCCATGAACACTTGTCCCCTGAGGGCAGTTCTGACTTGGAGACTCTCTATCCATGGCTTTGTGGGAAGCAGAAGATACCACTACCAGATTCTTGTGCCCCCCGGTCCCCTGCATCTAGAGAATGGGACATTTGGGAAGAGAGTAGGATGCTCACATTTGAGCTTGGAATGGAGGCTGCCACGGGGAAAGGACAATGACAAGGAGCCTCTCTGTAGGAGTGTCAGATGCAGAATGGTGCTCGGGCCCAGCGTGGATGTGACAGGGCCATCAGCAGGGTCTCCCTGTGCTTGATCTCGGCTCTGGTCTCTTCCCCACAGTCTGCCTCACTTTCTCCGTGACTGTCCTCCAGGTTTGGCTTTGCAGAGTTAACTTTCCAGTGAAACTATGACATGCTTGCTAGCTTCTTAGAAAAAGTACCTTGTTTATATTGCAATGCCTACTTATACATCCATTATGAATGCTTACAATTTTCATAAATAGTTCAGTTTCCCCCTTAGAACCATGAGAACTTCGAGAGGAGACGGTGCCTAGGTATCCGCATCTCCACGTGAAACGCGGGACCCCCACCTTTCTTTAACAGTGACCCCACTGGGGGGGCCGATAAGGAGTCTGCTCAGTTTCAGCCACGTGTCAGCTCCTTTCTCATATCAAATGCACAGCCGGTCCCCTGGGACGCTGCGGCCAGATGAGAACTCTTATTCTGACTTCTATTCTCACACTTGCGGCTGTCACCAACAAGGTCTGTTCAAATATCTGACCACTAATACTGAGGAATATTCTCTCTGCCTCCCTTCCCTTCCCTATGTCAAGCCACGCTGTCCCATCAGTGGGTGATTCCCTTCTTAAAACAGCATTTTTTTACAAAGGACTTACTCTCTCACGATTTCTGACACACGGGGCCCTTTGATGAAAGTCCCTCCCATGATCCTCCTACCTCTTCCCACTCCCACCAAACCACCTTTTCTCAAGTCTCCTCGTACTTCTGTGCCATTGATTGACTGAGTGAGTGAGTGAGTGATTGATTGACTGAGTGAGTGAGTGATTGATTGATTGATTGACTGAATGAGTGAGTGAGTGTTTATGTGGTTGGGTGCATGTAAGTCACACAAGCGTGGTGGCCAGAGGACAACTTGTACAACGTTCGCTTCTTTCTTTCCACCATGAAGGTTCTGGGGCTCAAATTCAGGTTTCCGGGCGTGATGGCAAGCACGGTTACCTGCTGAGCCATTGTAACACCTTTGTTTTGTTTTGTTTGTTTTTGGTGACCTACCGCCTTTAATTAGGGTTGCCTGGATACACACACATGACATGGAAGTGGGGGGGGCCAAAGGGGAAACGCCTCCCTGAAACGTTCCCAGTCTCTTTACTTTTCTTAGACTCTGGGGAAAGCGTGCCTGGCACATTTACAGGTGTCACGTTCACCCAGAGATCCATCACAATAGTCCTCTTGATGGGGGATGTCCACTGTATGTGTGACTAGGTGTTTCTCTTATTGGCTGATGAAATAAAGCTGTTTTGGCCAATGGACAGGTAGAATTTAGCCAGGCGGGAATTACGAACCAAGAGGCAGGGAGAAGGAAGACAGAGACGCAGACACCATGTAGCCGCCAGAGGCAGGACACCAGGGCATCATCTTTGTAAGCCAAGGCTACGTGGTGCTATACAGATTGGTAGGAAGGGGATAACAGTTAATAGAGAGCTAGCCGATAAGACGCCTAAGTCGTTGGCTAAACAATTACAAATACATATGAAGTCCCTGAGGGGTTATTTCCTCGCGGCCATGGGGGCCCGCTGGGTGGAGAGAAACTCGTCCAGTGGGGCCGAGACAGGTGGAGAAAGTTTCCTTTCTGCAGCCCTGCTCAGGTGCTGGAGATGAAGTATACAAGGATAGACCAAAGTACATAAGGATAGACCATTCTGCTTTGGCCATGTTGGGTATTTGACCTAAGACTTTTTTATGCTGTAAAGTATCTTCCTTTACTCACAATAGTCAAAAGTCTGACTTCTCTGTCGCTTTCAGACATGGCCAAGAAGTCAGGAAACTTGGTATCAAAGGTACTAATGGTCTTAAATGTGCCTAATCATGTCCTAAAAAGCATAACCAGCCACCAGCTATTTAAAACTTGCAACTTTCTTAACTTGGAAAAAAAAGTGTGTAGAGTCTATACCCAATTGCCATCTGATTATAAATGACAATATAATAACAATTC